CTACAACCGTCACCACTACTACCTCTACTACTGCAACCGTCACCACTACTACCTCTACTACAACCGTCACCACTACTACCTCTACTACTACAACCGTCACCACTACTACATCTACTACTACAACCGTCACCACTACAACCTCTCTTACTACAACCGTCACCACTACTACCTCTCTTACTACAACCGTCACCACTACTACCTCTACTACTACAACCGTCACCACTACTACCTCTACTACTACAACCGTCACCACTACTATCTCTGTTACTACAACCGTCACCACTACTACATCTACTACTACAACCGTCACCACTACTACCTCTACTACTACAACCGTCACCACTACAACCTCTACTACTGCAACCGTCACCACTACTACCTCTACTACTGCAACCGTCACCACTACTACATCTACTACTACAACCGTCACCACTACTACCTCTACTACTGCAACCGTCACCACTACTACATCTACTACAACCGTCACCACTACTACCTCTACTACAGCCGTCACCACTACTACCTCTGCTACTACAACCGTCACCACTACTACCTCTACTACTACAACCGTCACCACTACTACATCTACTACAACCGTCACCACTACTACCTCTACTACAGCCGTCACCACTACTACCTCTGCTACTACAACCGTCACCACTACTACCTCTACTACTACAACCGTCACCACTACTACAACCGTCACCACTACTACCTCTACTACTACAACCGTCACCACTACTACATCTACTACTACAACCGTCACCACTACTACAACCGTCACCACTACTACCTCTCCTACTGCAACCGTCACCACTACTACATCTACTACTACAACCGTCACCACTACTATCTCTGTTACTACAACCGTCACCACTACTACCTCTACTACTACAACCGTCACCACTACTACCTCTACTACTACAACCGTCACCACTACTATCTCTGCTACTACAACCGTCACCACTACTACCTCTACTACTACAACCGTCACCACTACTACCTCTACTACTACAACCGTCACCACTACTATCTCTGCTACTACAACCGTCACCACTACTACATCTACTACTACAACCGTCACCACTACTACCTCTGCTACTACAACCGTCACCACTACTACCTCTACTACTACAACCGTCACCACTACTACCTCTACTACTACAACCGTCACCACTACTACCTCTACTACTACAACCGTCACCACTACTATCTCTACTACTACAACCGTCACCACTACTATCTCTACTACAACCGTCACCACTACTACCTCTACTACTACAACCGTCACCACTACTACCTCTACTACTACAACCGTCACCACTACTACATCTACTACTACAACCGTCACCACCACTACCTCTCTTACTACAACCGTCACCACTACCTCTGCTACTGCAACCGTCACCACTACTACCTCTACTACTGCAACCGTCACCACTACTACATCTACTACTACAACCGTCACCACCACTACCTCTGCTACTACAACCGTCACCACCACTACCTCTGCTACTGCAACCGTCACCACTACTACCTCTGCTACTACAACCGTCACCACTACTACCTCTACTACTACAACCGTCACCACTACTACCTCCCCTACTACAACCGTCACCACTACTACCTCTACTACTACAACCGTCACCACTACTACCTCCCCTACTACAACCGTCACCACTACTACCTCTACAACAACCGTCACCACTACTACCTCTACTACTACAACCGTCACCACTACTACCTCTACTACTACAACCGTCACCACTACTACCTCTCTTACTACAACCGTCACCACTACAACCTCTCTTACTACAACCGTCACCACCACTACCTCTACTACTACAACCGTCACCACCACTACCTCTCTTACTACAACCGTCACCACTACTACCTCTCCTACTACAACCGTCACCACTACTACCTCTACTACTACAACCGTCACCACTACTACCTCTACTACTACAACCGTCACCACTACTACCTCTCCTACTACAACCGTCACCACTACTACCTCTACTACTACAACCGTCACCACTACTACCTCTCTTACTACAACCGTCACCACTACTACCTCTCCTACTACAACCGTCACCACTACTACCTCTACTACTACAACCGTCACCACTACTACCTCTACTACTACAACCGTCACCACTACTACCTCTACTACTACAACCGTCACCACTACTACCTCCCCTACTACAACCGTCACCACCACTACCTCTACAACAACCGTCACCACTACTACCTCTACTACTACAACCGTCACCACCACTACCTCTACAACAACCGTCACCACTACTACATCTACTACTACAACCGTCACCACTACTACCTCTACAACAACCGTCACCACTACTACCTCTACTACTACAACCGTCACCACTACTACCTCTACTACTACAACCGTCACCACCACTACCTCTCTTACTACAACCGTCACCACCACTACCTCTACTACTACAACCGTCACCACTACTACCTCTACTACTGCAACCGTCACCACTACTACCTCTACTACTACAACCGTCACCACTACTACCTCTACTACTACAACCGTCACCACTACTACCTCTCTTACTACAACCGTCACCACTACTACATCTACTACTACAACCGTCACCACTACTACCTCTCCTACTACAACCGTCACCACTACTACATCTACTACTACAACCGTCACCACTACTACCTCTCTTACTACAACCGTCACCACTACAACCTCTCTTACTACAACCGTCACCACTACTACCTCTACTACTACAACCGTCACCACTACTACCTCTACTACTACAACCGTCACCACTACTATCTCTACTACTACAACCGTCACCACTACTACATCTACTACTACAACCGTCACCACTACTACCTCTACTACTACAACCGTCACCACCACTACCTCTACTACTACAACCGTCACCACTACTACCTCTACTACTACAACCGTCACCACTACTACCTCCCCTACTACAACCGTCACCACCACTACCTCTACTACTACAACCGTCACCACTACTACCTCCCCTACTACAACCGTCACCACTACTACCTCTACAACAACCGTCACCACTACAACCTCTACTACTACAACCGTCACCACTACTACCTCTACTACTACAACCGTCACCACTACTACCTCTACTACTACAACCGTCACCACTACTACCTCTACTACTACAACCGTCACCACTACTACCTCTACTACTACAACCGTCACCACTACTACCTCTACTACTACAACCGTCACCACTACTACCTCTACTACTACAACCGTCACCACTACTACCTCTACTACTACAACCGTCACCACTACTACCTCTACTACTACAACCGTCACCACTACAACCTCTACTACTACAACCGTCACCACTACTACCTCTACTACTACAACCGTCACCACTACTACCTCTACTACTACAACCGTCACCACCACTACCTCTCTTACTACAACCGTCACCACCACTACATCTACTACTACAACCGTCACCACCACTACATCTACTACTACAACCGTCACCACTACTACATCTACTACTACAACCGTCACCACTACTACCTCTACTACTACAACCGTCACCACTACTACCTCTACTACTACAACCGTCACCACTACTACCTCCCCTACTACAACCGTCACCACTACTACATCTACTACTACAACCGTCACCACTACTACCTCTACTACTACAACCGTCACCACTACTATCTCTCTTACTACAACCGTCACCACTACTACATCTACTACTACAACCGTCACCACTACTACAACCGTCACCACTACTACCTCTCCTACTGCAACCGTCACCACTACTACATCTACTACTACAACCGTCACCACTACTATCTCTGTTACTACAACCGTCACCACTACTACCTCTCCTACTGCAACCGTCACCACTACTACATCTACTACTACAACCGTCACCACTACTACCTCTACTACTACAACCGTCACCACTACTATCTCTGCTACTACAACCGTCACCACTACTACCTCTCTTACTACAACCGTCACCACTACTACCTCTACTACTACAACCGTCACCACTACTATCTCTGCTACTACAACCGTCACCACTACTACATCTACTACAACCGTCACCACTACTACCTCTCTTACTACAACCGTCACCACTACTACCTCTACTACTACAACCGTCACCACTACTATCTCTGCTACTACAACCGTCACCACTACTACCTCTGCTACTACAACCGTCACCACTACTACATCTACTACTACAACCGTCACCACTACTATCTCTGTTACTACAACCGTCACCACTACTACCTCTACTACTACAACCGTCACCACTACTACCTCTACTACTACAACCGTCACCACCACTACCTCTACTACTACAACCGTCACCACTACTACATCTACTACTGCAACCGTCACCACTACTATCTCTGCTACTGCAACCGTCACCACTACTACCTCTACTACTACAACCGTCACCACTACTACCTCTACTACTACAACCGTCACCACTACTACCTCTACTACTACAACCGTCACCACTACTATCTCTACTACTACAACCGTCACCACTACTATCTCTGCTACTACAACCGTCACCACTACTACCTCTGCTACTACAACCGTCACCACTACTATCTCTACTACTACAACCGTCACCACTACTATCTCTGCTACTACAACCGTCACCACTACTACCTCTACTACTACAACCGTCACCACTACTATCTCTGCTACTACAACCGTCACCACTACTACCTCTGCTACTACAACCGTCACCACCACTACCTCTCCTACTACAACCGTCACCACTACTACCTCTACTACTACAACCGTCACCACTACTACCTCTACTACTACAACCGTCACCACTACTACCTCTACTACTGCAACCGTCACCACTACTACCTCTACTACTACAACCGTCACCACTACTACCTCTACTACTACAACCGTCACCACTACTACCTCTACTACAGCCGTCACCACTACTACCTCTGCTACTACAACCGTCACCACTACTACCTCTACTACTACAACCGTCACCACTACTACAACCGTCACCACTACTACCTCTACTACTACAACCGTCACCACTACTACATCTACTACTACAACCGTCACCACTACTACAACCGTCACCACTACTACAACCGTCACCACTACTACCTCTCCTACTGCAACCGTCACCACTACTACATCTACTACTACAACCGTCACCACTACTACCTCTACTACTACAACCGTCACCACTACTACATCTACTACTACAACCGTCACCACTACTACCTCTACTACTACAACCGTCACCACTACTACATCTACTACTACAACCGTCACCACTACTACCTCTACTACTACAACCGTCACCACTACTACCTCTACTACTACAACCGTCACCACTACTACCTCTACTACTACAACCGTCACCACCACTACATCTACTACTACAACCGTCACCACCACTACCTCTACTACTACAACCGTCACCACTACTACCTCTACTACTACAACCGTCACCACTACTACCTCTACTACTACAACCGTCACCACTACTACCTCTACTACTACAACCGTCACCACCACTACATCTACTACTACAACCGTCACCACCACTACATCTACTACTACAACCGTCACCACTACTACCTCTACTACTACAACCGTCACCACTACTACCTCTCCTACTACAACCGTCACCACTACTACATCTACTACAACCGTCACCACTACTACCTCTACTACAGCCGTCACCACTACTACCTCTCCTACTACAACCGTCACCACTACTACATCTACTACAACCGTCACCACTACAACCTCTACTACAGCCGTCACCACTACTACCTCTGCTACTACAACCGTCACCACTACTACCTCTACTACTACAACCGTCACCACTACTATCTCTGCTACTACAACCGTCACCACTACTACATCTACTACTACAACCGTCACCACTACTACCTCTACAACAACCGTCACCACTACTACCTCTACTACTACAACCGTCACCACTACTACCTCTACTACTACAACCGTCACCACTACTACCTCTACTACTACAACCGTCACCACTACTACCTCTACTACTACAACCGTCACCACTACTACCTCCCCTACTACAACCGTCACCACTACTACCTCTACAACAACCGTCACCACTACTACCTCTACTACTACAACCGTCACCACTACTACCTCTACTACTACAACCGTCACCACTACTATCTCTGCTACTACAACCGTCACCACCACTACCTCTGCTACTACAACCGTCACCACTACTGCCTCTGTTACTACAACCGTCACCACTACTACCTCTACTACTACAACCGTCACCACCACTACCTCTGCTACTACAACCGTCACCACTACTATCTCTACTACTACAACCGTCACCACTACTATCTCTACTACTACAACCGTCACCACTACTATCTCTACTACTACAACCGTCACCACTACTATCTCTACTACTACAACCGTCACCACTACTATCTCTCCTACTACAACCGTCACCACTACTATCTCTGCTACTACAACCGTCACCACCACTACCTCTGCTACTACAACCGTCACCACTACTACCTCTACTACTACAACCGTCACCACTACTACCTCTGCTACTACAACCGTCACCACTACTACCTCTACTACTACAACCGTCACCACTACTACCTCTGCTACTACAACCGTCACCACTACTACCTCTGCTACTACAACCGTCACCACTACTATCTCTACTACTACAACCGTCACCACTACTACCTCTGCTACTACAACCGTCACCACTACTATCTCTGCTACTACAACCGTCACCACCACTACCTCTACTACTACAACCGTCACCACTTCTACCTCTACTACTACAACCGTCACCACTACTACCTCTACTACTACAACCGTCACCACTACTATCTCTGCTACTACAACCGTCACCACTACTATCTCTACAACAACCGTCACCACTACTACCTCTACTACTACAACCGTCACCACTACTACCTCTACTACTACAACCGTCACCACTACTACCTCTACTACTACAACCGTCACCACTACTACCTCTACTACTACAACCGTCACCACTACTACCTCTACTACTACAACCGTCACCACTACTACCTCTACTACTACAACCGTCACCACTACTACCTCTGCTACTACAACCGTCACCACTTCTACCTCTACTACTACAACCGTCACCACTACTACCTCTGCTACTACAACCGTCACCACTACTACCTCTACTACTACAACCGTCACCACTACTACCTCTACTACTACAACCGTCACCACTACTACCTCTACTACTGCAACCGTCACCACTACTACCTCTACTACAACCGTCACCACTACTATCTCTACTACTACAACCGTCACCACTACTATCTCTGCTACTACAACCGTCACCACCACTACCTCTGCTACTACAACCGTCACCACTACTACCTCTACTACTGCAACCGTCACCACTACTATCTCTGCTACTACAACCGTCACCACTACTACCTCTACTACTACAACCGTCACCACCACTACCTCTGCTACTACAACCGTCACCACTACTATCTCTACTACTACAACCGTCACCACTACTACCTCTACTACTACAACCGTCACCACTACTATCTCTACTACTACAACCGTCACCACTACTATCTCTGCTACTACAACCGTCACCACCACTACCTCTGCTACTACAACCGTCACCACTACTACCTCTCCTACTACAACCGTCACCACTACTACCTCTGCTACTACAACCGTCACCACTTCTACCTCTACTACTACAACCGTCACCACTACTACCTCTGCTACTACAACCGTCACCACTACTACCTCTACTACTACAACCGTCACCACTACTACCTCTACTACTACAACCGTCACCACTACTACCTCTACTACTGCAACCGTCACCACTACTACCTCTACTACAACCGTCACCACTACTATCTCTACTACTACAACCGTCACCACTACTATCTCTGCTACTACAACCGTCACCACCACTACCTCTGCTACTACAACCGTCACCACTACTACCTCTACTACTGCAACCGTCACCACTACTATCTCTGCTACTACAACCGTCACCACTACTACCTCTACTACTACAACCGTCACCACCACTACCTCTGCTACTACAACCGTCACCACTACTATCTCTACTACTACAACCGTCACCACTACTACCTCTACTACTACAACCGTCACCACTACTATCTCTACTACTACAACCGTCACCACTACTATCTCTGCTACTACAACCGTCACCACCACTACCTCTGCTACTACAACCGTCACCACTACTACCTCTACTACTACAACCGTCACCACTACTACATCTCCTACTACAACCGTCACCACTACTACCTCTACTACTACAACCGTCACCACTACGACATCCACACATCGTATACAAATCAGATAGTAAGGTTATTAGATATGTAGCTGGTCTATGACGTCAACACTGACCCAGTTGAAATATTTCGGCGTGGAACGGCACGCGAAGATGTCATTACAACACGCGATATCTTCCCATTCTACGGCTAACGGTACAACAGTTTCTATAGACCACAAAAACGACATCTATGTGAAAGGCACGATTCAAGGATTTAATCATTCATATTCAAGAAATAACACATACACCATCACCATCAAGAACTTATGCATATACATTCAAGAAATACACATACACATTCAAGAAATCAGACATACACATTCAAGAAATTATACATACACATTCAAGAAATCAGACATACACATTCAAGAAATAGACATACACATTCAAGAAATTAGACAAACACATTCAAGAAATTATACATTATACATTCAAGAAACCAGACATACACATTCAAGAAATTATAAATAGACGTTCAAGAAAATACACATATATACCATCAACCATCAATAGTCACAAGTATTGGGCACTGGCTTTGCTAGTTAGTTATTGAACTTATTCAGAATGTTCGACTTTCTGTATGATCTGTTTAAAAAAGTATCCTGCGCCTAATCAACCGCTGAGGTTGGGGTGAGCCTGTAGGTACACAAGCTTGTTGACCCCGCTGTCGCCCAGCCCCAGGTTGGGGCACCTGTCTACTGTAGACAACAATCACGTGACCAATGCCCACTCCGTGGAGGGAGACTGGTCGATACATGCGCGGTGTGGTCACTGGGCTCAAAGTGGGATTTGCACGAACGAAATCGCTGTATTGTTTTCTTACTTGGCAGTGTATTATGGAACATAAAACTGCCTTCCAGGTGACTGAGATTGCATATTTGTATGTCGGTCTGTCTGTCATCAATGTATGTATTCGCATTCAACTTTTTCCTGATGAAAAAACTGAAACATGTAGGAGAACAATTCGTTTCATGTGATTTATTTTGGGAATATCTTTATTGATGTGGTTCTATACACTAGTGATTCCACCTCTCTCCTCCCTCCCTCCCTCTCCCTCTGTGTGTGTGTGTGTGTGTGTGTGTGTATGTATATATATATATATATATATATATATATGTGTGTGTGTGTGTGTGTGTGTGTGTGTGTGTGCGTGCGTACGTGTGAGAGTGTGTATTTATATATGTATAAATGTCACATTTTATCAAATAAATGTAAAATGATTGAAAAATATTTTTTTTATAAAAAATAAAAAATATAAAAAAATATATATGTATGTACATATTCGTTCAACCTATTCATCTACCCGTCATATCTACCCATGTTTTATTTACCAGTCTATGTATCAGAACGTATCCGCCAATCTACCTTGTGATCGGTTCAGCAAGACTATACTACGCAGTACTGTACTACAGACGTATTACGACATGCTATATTTAGCAATCCGCTCACTGAATAAAACATGACCATATACATACTGCGATCTGCGATCGACAAGCACGTGCTCCGCGGTGTAATGTGTTTCACGGAATGTGTGAGTCACGGATGTAACGGGTGCGCGACTTACATCCGGGTAAGTATTGTACCTGTATAACGCTAATCAATTATTAGTCACTGTAGGGAGGAACCCGAAATAAACATGTATTTATTTGTTTGTTTGTTTGTTTGTTTAATTATTTAAAGATGATACGGCACTCAAAGTGAAATTACGTCTAATAAGTCAATTTTGGCTGGACAAACCTATTTTGTATCGTAAATTGAAATCTGGAGGGTTTTCTGTAATTGTGCGTGTGATATGAGTAAACACTGCTACTGCTAGCAACGCCTGTTGTAACACAGAAACAATAGTTTGCTTGACATGTTCCAAGTGCAATGGTGTGTTCCGATTGCATGTCACTTTCGGAACACGTCGACACATTGACTTGTACATCTGTTGGAACGCGTGTAGTGAGACGCTGAATAGAATTTAATACAACAGTCCATTGTTGACTGTATTTCGTGTTCGACTGTTCCGAATGCATAATTAATTACGAAAACAAAGTGACCTACATGTTATTACGCGGCTTAATTAACCCGCCAGTAAGTTAATTATAGGATTCCGTAATGAAACGTCATGTTCATACTCGCTACTCCATAAGTATGAATCATATATACATATATACCGCCCACTTACACATTCAAAATATTGTAGTATTTACTTAACATGATGACAAGACAATTCTGAAACCGTATTTAGTCATTCATTAACAATTTTCTTATTACAATGGTGTCTTTATTAATTGATCACTGTACTTATCGACCTGACAAAACATCTCAATTTACAAACACCTAAGCAGGGTGGAACACGCCCTAGCAGCAGGTCTTGTCTTGATATAAGCTGGGGGCAAAACAAAGTATACCGTGTTATATTTATTTTTATATAAGTGTTTTTAAGTTGGATTATGTCTATTGAGCTTATCCCTGCAAGAGTTTGTAAAATGTAGTCTGTGGCTGGGTACCCTTGGTGTAAAAATACATTGGTTTAATAATCAATGGGGTAAGAAATGAATACTAGTATGCCTCCTACTTTGTTTGAAATGTAAATTTTTCTGCCGAAAAAAACCCAAACAAGTGTATTGATTTTCAAAGAAATCTCTAAAAATGTCTAACATACCCATCAGTAGTTGTGTATTATGCGATTATTTTTTTAAAGTTATAAATTTTAAATCAAATAATATTTTTAAAAATAACACTTTGTAGAGGTATTCTCCGAGTGCTGACGAATCGTCACAACTGTTCATTTGAATGAACACCTAATAAAATCAACGTGTGTGTGTGTGTGTTTGTGTGTTTGTGTGTGTGTGTGTGGGGGGGGTTATTGTTTCTTTTGCTTCTCTGTGTGTATCCCTTTCTTTGTTTACTATTCTTTCATTCTTGTTCTCTCTCTCTTATTTCTTCATTCATTCGTTTTCCTTCTTCCATTCTCTTATTGTTCTCTATTATTTGCTATTCCATAAACTTAACGTTTACAGTGAGAGTAACATATATGAAATATGTATGGAATAATATTTTATATACACATTCCTTAAATAGATATGTAGTCAACGTATACACGGCCAGGCTAATCAGACTTGGTATCAAGTGGTATCACGCACTACATACACCTCCTGTATGAATACAGTACAATAGGTTGTGTCTCAACGTGTCGGATCATGCATATATAAGAGCGGGGTTGTATCGAGTCTTAACCACATGTTCTACCCAGGGGGAACGACCAGTGTAATTATTCTCCACAGCGGCGAAGGCCGGTGATTTGTTATAGAATCGATAGTAACAGGAAACAATCCATATATTTGATTCGCTGGGAGGAGAAAGTCTTGAGAAATAAGTTAGGTCACGTTGTTTGTTTGTTTATGTTTTACGCCGCCCTCAGCTTTATTCCAGCTATATGGCGGCGGTCTGTCAATAATGGAGTCTGGACCAGATGATATACAGTGATTGACATGATCAGCATCGATCTTCGCAATTGGGATACGATGACATGCATCAACCAAGTCAGCGAGCAGGCTTTGTAAGAGGCGAATAACGGTCTCGGGTGGTCGGGCTCTCCGACGTGGTCGATGCATGTCATCGTATCCCAATTATGTATATCGATGTTTATGATATTTATAACTGGATTGTCTGGCTTGATTATTTAAAAACCGCCGTCATATAGCTGGAATATTGCTGAGTTCGGCTAAAAAAACCTAAAACACGTGAACGTGCGTGGATATACGCGCGGGAAAGATACATAACGTCTATTAGTGCAAAATTAAATGTGGATACTATACTACTCAAAAGAACCTATATAAAGTTAATCTGTCATTGCCTGCTTATATGAACACAGCGTCAATACGTTTACTCTGAAGACAAGAGTGAGTGAGTGAGTTGGGTTTAACGCCGCTTTTAACAGTATTCCAGTTATATCACGGCTTGTCAGCTTACTGTGGGAGGAAAGCCGAAGTGATGCAGCTCTCAGACGTTTACCACTTCGGTGAAACCCACGAGCACGGGTATGGTGCTGACAAAACTAGAAACGTAATCGGGGCAAACCGGGATTCGAACCCACAATCATAGGTTTCTGGCGTGCCCAAGGGACGCAACTCTGCACAACGAATCGCGGCGCCTTAGACAATTTTTGTACATAAGTATAAAATAAACACTTTGTCATTTATGTATATGACAAATCAAATTTGAATATATTTTATACCGAACGCAAGACTCAAAATATATGATCATAATATACTACTCAACTGTTTATAAGGATACGAGATCCTTCCTTCGACATAACACACAATGACATGATCGGGTTGAATCAACAAAACAATAAAACATATCCCTATCATAAGTCGAGTAGTATATATCCTCTTTAAACCCTCCCGAAACTATCGTCCCTAATGACGTATATAATATATGTGATAAAACAGCCTTTCCCATACCTCTCTTTATACCGATCGAGACACGGACTTGAGACGTGATTAAACTGCCGGGCATAAGAAAGTGTACACTTGAAGTTTGGTTTTGACCAAACAATTACAAACGTTATCAAAACGTTACTAGGCTAAAACACTGAAACACTGCAAAGTTATGGCCCAAAACACAACTATGATACCCCTATCAAATACATCTCCATCGAATAGCCATTTCTTGTTTGTTTCACAGCCACCATGAAACATGGTGTATACTTTCTTTAAGCCAGCAGTAATGAATTCCACTGTTGCTACGGCGGTTAAATTTGAACAATAAAACAAGTTGCGTTAGGATTCTAAACATCAGACTATATGCATATGTCTCGTAGCTTTTAATGTTTGTCCGTCGTAAGATCTTTCCACGCACGTTTTGAACGAATTTGACAGCACGCTCTGACCCAATTAGCTCTCCAATTCACGGGCTTATTTACTCGACCAACGCAGTGTATATAGTCAAAGGATCTGTTTTGACGACGGGATAATACAATGACTGACCCGTGAGGGGGCTATAAAACCTGATTGGTAGCATGGCTTGGAGGGGTGGGGTGGTTGGGGGTGCACCCGGGGTGGGGGACATATGTTGTAGGGTCACAGCAGTCACATAAATCCTCTGTGACAGCAAGCCCATACATGCCGTGACATTGCCCACTGCTTCGGCAGTGACAAGCCTCGAACCATTTGCGTGTGTGTAACGATGTTGTGTTGTACATTTTTTGTGTCTTATTTTATTCAATTTCTAAACGGTCAATCAAAGTAATAGAATAAAAAAATCACACGTTAAATTTTCTTTCACTTTCAAACTGCGGTACGTATTTGGAATGGCAACATTGGGACATTTCACAATAACTTGGACAGAATACAATATTTAATTTTTTTTTGATATTTGTATTTTAATTTGTTTATTTTCGTTTAATGCTGCACTCAGCAATATTTCAGCTACATGGAGGCAGACTGTAACAGACTGTAACTAAAGTCAGTCCAGTGATTGATATCATGAGCAACGATCCCCGCCGTCGGGGTCGGATGACATGCAATAACTAAGTCACCGAAACCGGACAACCCGATGCAGTCAGTCTAAGACATAACTGGGAAATCCAAGTCAGTATTTGTTTCTAGCTAAATACGATGACATTTGTAATGGTAAACTTACGGCGTTAAGTATAAGTCTGTCTCTCACGTCTGTTTGTTTCCCAGGATCACTGTATCTGTCTGTCGGTCTCCCATATCCGTCTGTCGGTCTCATGTGTCTGACTTACGGGTCTCACGTGACTGTGTCTGTCTGTCTCTGTGTCTGACTGTCGGGTATCACGTGACTGTGTCTGTCTGTCTCTGTGTCTGACTGTCGGGTCTCACGTGACAGTGTCTGTCGGTCTCATGTGTCTGACTGTCGGTCTCACATGCATGTCTGTCGGCCCCAAGTGTCTGACTGTCGGGTCTCACGTGACAGTGTCTGTCGGTCTCATGTGTCTGACTGTCGGTCTCACATGTATGTCTGTCGGTCTCATGTGTCTGACTGTCGGTCTCACGTGACTGTGTCTGTCGGCCTCATGTGTCTGACTGTCGGTCTCACGTGACAGTGTCTGTCGGTCTCATGTGTCTGACGTTCGGGTCTCACGTGACAGTGTCTGTCGGTCTCATGTGTCTGACTGTCGGTCTCATGTGTCTGACTGTCGGTCTCACGTGTATGTCTGTCGGTCTCATGTGTCTGACTGTCGGTCTCACATGACTGTGTCTGTCTGCCCCAAGTGTGTGACTGTCGGTCTCACATGTATGTCTGTCTGCCCCAAGTGTCTGACTGTTGGGTCTCACGTGACTGTGTCTGCCGGCCTCATGTGTCTGACTGTCGGGTCTCACATGTATGTCTGTCGGCCCCCAAGTGTCTGACTGTCGGGTCTCACGTGACTGTGTCTGTCTGTCGGTCTCCCATATCCGTCTGTCGGTCTCATGTGTCCGACTTACGGGTCTCACGTGACTGTGTCTGTCTGTCGGTCTCCCATATCCGTCTGTCGGTCTCATGTGTCCGACTTACGGGTCTCACGTGACTGTGTCTGTCTGTCTCTGTGTCTGACTGTCGGGTCTCACATGTATGTCTGTCGGCCTCATGTGTCTGACTGTCGGTCTCACATGTATGTCTGTCGGGCTCATGTGTCTGACTGTCGGGTCTCACGTGTATGTCTGTCGGGCTCATGTGTCTGACTGTCGGGTCTCACGTGACTGTGTCTGTGCGTCCCATATCTGTCTGTCGGCCTCGCACGAAAGTGTATGTCGGTCTCCCGTGGTTGTCTGTTGGTCTCACGTGTCTGACTGTCGGTCCTACATGGCTGTCTGCCTGTCGTGTTCCATGTCCCTCACCCGGTCTAGGTTTCTCGACAATATAGAATTTAGACGGAACTACACCCAATTATCATCAGCCAAATGTGCATGTCAATAATCAGTCAAAATACATTTCAAAACATGATGATCACATTCACCTCGGCGGATATTTTTGTTTCTTTGTTGCTTAACGCCGCACTCGGCAATATTCCAGCTTTATGACGGCGGTCTATAAATATTCGAGTCTGGACCAGGCAATCCAGTAATCGTCACGAGCATCGATCCACGCAATTGGGATACGATAACATGCATCAACCAAGTCAGCGAGCCTGACCACCTGATCCCGTAAGTCGCCTCTAACACCAGCATGGGTTGCTGAAGACCTATTCTACCCCGGATGTTCACCTCAGCGGAAATCAGTGTGAAACTTCACAATCATCTCTATAGTATAAGCCTGTCACCTTTCAGATATTAAACAACAGCGACTGAAACATATAAACAGTGAATATGTATTTTATTTACATGAACTTGTATTATCAACAAATAGAAACAGCTGTTTAACATTTCAATGTAGCCAGTGTAGTGGTCATCACTTCTGACCACAACTTCATGTGTTACTGACCAACGTTGGTCGGTTAATGGTGCCGCGCTCCGCCACCAGTCGGTTCAGATCGTTTTTCTCTCACTGATTTTGTTTGTTTGTTGTTTAACGCCCGTTCAGCAATATTCAAGCTATATGACCGCGGCCTGTACATAATCGAGTCTGGACCAGACAATTCAGTGATTCATGTTGTGAACAACAATCCACGCTGTCAGGGTACGCAGACAAACAATCAACCAAGTCAGCGAGCCTGACCACCCGATCAATTTGGTCACCATCCGATAAGATTCGGGTCTTCAGCAACCCACGCTTGTCGTAAAAAGACGATTAACGGCATCGGGTGGTCAGGCTCGCTGACTTGGTTGATGCATGTTATCGTATCCCAATTGCGTAAATTGATCCTCATGATGACAATCACTGGATTAACTGGTCCAGACTCGATTCTTTACAGACCGCCGTCATAAAGCTGGAATATTGCCGAGTGCGGCGTTAAACAACAAACACGAAACAAACGTTTGGTCACCTCTTGCGACCTAAAAAAGCCGGAATCTCCATGGGAGTGTTTGTCTCCCTAAATCCGACCCAATATATTGTGATCTCAATCACCTGTTTGCGAGTTTCCAAATCATATCAGGAATGACGTTAAGTTAACACATCCTTGTATACACATTGACAAGGGATGTATACATGAATCTACCTTCCCGGTATTACCACCCTCGATTGTCCAGGGTATTATATCTCCATTCTATTAAGCTGTCCGTAGTTTTTACTGTATTTCCCATCTCCCAACCGCGCTGAAATTTCGTTCCGACGTGAACTACCGACACGAGTCTCTTATCTCAATTTTCCCCGCCGCTGTTGAGATGTATGTCCCGAAGTGATACAAAAATACGCCTTCAATTGCACACTAAATATTCCCAGGTCAGCTTGATCTTTTCTTTATGTTTATAAAAAGTCGCTTCCAAAGCAAATCGTTTCGATCTACGTCATAAATGAACTTAAGGACCGCTACGAAGTGTTCTAAACCTCAACATACCATAAAATAAGTTACACAATTAGTGAAAAACATTTTTTAATAGTTTCTTTTAACAGGTTTTAAAAAAAAATTGATACATTTTTTTATTGCGCCCGCTCGCTCTCTTGTTGGCTGAGGTTGGAGAAGAGAAACGCATAAACAAATATGGATGACGTCATGATAAATCAAAAACTGTCATGAGCGAGGGAAAGTCTGTGCTGATAGGTGGGATGGAGACAGTGACGTCACTTCCCAAACGAAGCTATGAAGCAGATGGGTCATTAATTGTAATTATTGTAATAGACGCAGAGAAACTACTCAAACAGATATTTTAATATAAACTTATCTTGACACACTCATCTTCCCGAGGCATGGGAGTTAGCCGACTATAAAAATCCAGTTTCCACCCTTGCTGGAATTCCTGGGCTCGATCGTAGCGCCACCAGTGGTTATTAAGAATTATGTCCCTTCTTAGCCTCTCCTATGGACCATGAGATTCCACCTCTCGTGTCACTTGCATTTGCTACAAACAAAATGGCGGCGCCCAGTCAAGATGATCTGATCGATAATCAAGATCTATATTGTGATAAAACGGGTCTAACATCGCAAAGGGCATCAAATCACGTGAGCATCTTGATTAAAAACATGAAAAGAATTGGAAAATATCTGTTGACAACGAGTTGGTGGTGCACATGCTTTGTTAATCCTGCAATCGACCGAAATTTGCAGTGCAGTTTACGAACCGGATTTTGATTTCGGTGCGCGATTTTGATTGGACTATGCATAGACTCGTTAGTCCAGCCAAAATGTAACTCCATAATACCAGTCTAGTTCGGCAAGGGTGGAAACTGGACTTTTATAGTCAGTTAACTCCCTTGCCTCGGGAAGATGTGACACACTATGTAATTTACTGCAATAGAACTGATATTATACACTGGACAATCGAGGTTTGGCAATACAGGCACTGTATTTTACACAGCATGTACATTTCACATACGTATACGACAATAACAGTAAACTTAAATAAGAATACCCATCCCCCTTGTATCGCAACTATACTACTCAAGAGAAGTTAAGCACTACCTGATATTTTCATATTACCATAGTTAATTTGACAAGGTTCATACCATGATATATTAACTATGGTAATATGAAAGAATAGTGTGGACCTTAACTTCGTTTGAGAAGTATAGGTAAAAAGAAGTTTAAGTACCCTACGACCATTTATCTCAATGCAAACACGTAATCGAATTGAAGATTGTTTATACATTGCACAATTTGTATCAAGGAAATCACAGCAATAAAGACATGCTGGCTTCTTGGCATTGTCTCGTCCTTATGGTTTATACTATATACATAAAAGAAAGAAATCCCTTACTCTTGTCCTTATGAATAATCAGATACTGTGTCGGAAGATAATCGATGCGTTAAACAACAAATATAGAAAACACAACATGGGTGACAACATGAGACGGAGAAACAATCCAGCTAAAAAACTAACTAAAAGCAGAAACCATGTCATCAGATATTTTAAAATAAACCAAAACTGACACTATGAAAACACGCAGAGTGGAATTTGGAAATAATTACGGTCAGCGCACTTACCGAAAACAAAGAAATTGATATGTGGTAATGAGGTACCATTGCAATAATCTTGTCTGAGTTTGAATCCTCATACATTCTGTGTAAGCTTCCAGACACGTGTTACTTTGGATTCAAAATCAACGATGCGTTTTCAAACAGTTTCAGTATATATTAAAATGTGTAATTCCCACTTCACTAAGGCCCTGCATTTGATTCCCTGGTGCATCAGAACCCAAAAGTCGTGAGTTCAATTCCTGTTTCGCTCTGATCATGAATGAGTCTTGTTGTTTCTTCGCCATACCCGAGCTTCTGGGTTTCGCAAAAGTGGCAAACGTAAAAGACTTGCATCGCTTCGGGCTTTCAAAAGTCCTACCACATTATGACATACCATGATATAACTGAACTACTGTTCAAAACGGCGTTTAACGCAATTCACCACTCATTCTTGTGAGATGGTTGGAATGGTGAGTTTTGGAACAGCTTCCAGGAGCGGAATTACGGGAAGCCATCGAGCAATATTCAAAGGCTGGAAGACATAAAGTACCACGTGACCTCATTACCCGACTGGAATTTCCTTTACGGTCACGACACCATTGTTATAAATTCCAGTTGACGTTTGTGTAGAAAAAAATCAATGACATTAAAAAAACCACAACCATTTCAGCCTCGTTCGAGAATTAAGCAGCGCTTGTAATGATCGTTCGATGTCTACCATTAGTGCGACACCCACTGCATACGTTTCATGTTAAAACGTGTCTGATGAACATTTCAAACTCTTGTATATTATGAAGTACAAAAAATAACAAACAATGACGACATTCAATATGACCATCAGACATTCCGGAAAAGTAAAATCAAATAGTAGATTTAAAAAAGTAGATTTGAGTGACTTGATTGAGTTCGAATCCCATGGAAGCTTCCAGTACAGACTTTAGCATACAATGACACGTATTGCATTCAGAAGATCAGTAGGTATTAGACAGCCCCTGATTGATTAAATGCTGATATTGATATTTCAGTCTCGTGGGATTTCACGATGTCTGCACCAAATGCCAGTGCCAGACGAAGACGTGTCTTCGATCCGGGCCTCATAGTATCGCATGTTATGCTTTTCCAACAAACACACTGCCTCCCATGAAAATGTTCAAATGATTGATCCATTTAGAGTCACGAAACTGACTTGTAGACCTCTTCTGCAATTCTCAAATCTGATTTCAACACCAAGAAGGTAATTTTGAATAACATTCGTTATTCGCTTAGCTGTTCCACCAAGCAGGCTTTCTCCCCATTAACAATATCGCTGCTGCTGTATAACGGGGGTCTTTCTACGTCGTATTCCGTATATGCAGGAGGTTTCACTTGAGGGGTGTACGGCGGTAAATGTATAACCTCACTCTGGACATCAGGACGCGTGGTCTTTTGTGGGGGCGTGGTCACATTGCCTGAAACAACATACATAGCACTTCACTGACAAGATAGGACATTGAAGTGAGTGAGTGAGTGAGTATGGTGTTACGCCGCTTTTAGCAATATTCTAGCAATATCACGGCGGGGGACACCAGAAATTGGCTTCACTCATTGTACCCATGTCGGGATTCGAACCCGGGTCTTCCTTGTGACCAGCGAACGCTTTAACCATTAGGCTTTTCAACCGCCCCATAAAAATTTGTTTGTGGATTCACGCCATTGATTCTATTCTGGAGGGTTCCACGTGGCAAGGGCAGATCACTCCATGCATACGTCTATGGCCATTCGTCACCACTGGCTTTTGTTCGAAACCTAAAATAAAACCTCCTTTTGTTTTTCTCGGAATGGCGCGAGTTTGTCACGAATGTTCATGTCATGGCAAAATGACGCATGAGAAATCAACAAATAATATAAATCAATTCCGACCTATCGAACGTTATCTATACTTACTTAGGGAGAGACACGCTGTATTGATTGATGGTTTTGGCAAGGTCGAAGAGTTCAAAATGGTCAATTTGGGAATATTATTGAAGCTACCAGCTGCACTATTAATTACCCTTAGAGACCTCACTCACAAACTCCCCACTGAATATACTCCAAAGAAGTCTGAAGCACTACCATAACAGTTACAACAAAAAGACCCGTGAAGGCCGGGTTAGAATAGGTCTTCAGCAACCCTTGCTTGTCATGAGGGACGACTATGCTTGTCGTAAGAGGCGACCAACGGGATCGGGTGGTCAGGCTCGCTGACTTGGTTGATGCATGTCATCGTATCCCAATTGTGAAGATCGATGTTCATGGTATCAATCACTGGATTGCCTGGTCCATACTCGATTATTTAAATGTCGCCGTCATATAGCTGGAATATGGCTGAGTGCGGCGTTAAACCAAAAACAAACAACGACTCATCTCTACCAATCCCACCCAGTCTGTCAGTGTGATCGTTCATAGCGCCATTCAACTGGCTTACAAAGAGGCGGTAGTCTCAGCGTGACATTGAGAGTCTATTGGAATGGCTTAATATTCACGTGCATACAAATAACAGTCAGACTTTCCCCCAGTGGGGTCAATACGATCCTGACATAGCATAGGTGTTGGGTAGATGAATTAATCTCGCTACTACATATCACTGAACAACACACGACAGTTTTCAAAGGAGCTTCAGCGTGTGGTGACTTGTGAACTTCAAGCGAGTGTATGATCAGTTATGTTTGTGTTGGGACTTAATACATACAGCACCAGGTACTTAGCTCTTACATGCCCGCAGGTATATGGGACGGTGATCCAAGCGTGGGTGGCGAGTTATGGAAAGGAATACACAACACTGACACCGACTAGTTTGGTGAAACAAACACGGTATAGCGAAAGTATTTGTTTGCTGTTGTTAACGCCACACTCGGCATAATTCAAGCCAGGTGACGTCGGTCTGTGACCAGACAATCCAGTGATTAATATCATGAGGTTGGGGTACCAAGACAAGCAAGTAACTGCAACCGACAACTCGATCACTCAGTCGCCTACTTCAACAAACAGGTTACTGGGGGAGGAGTTCTATCAGGGACGACGTACTTGGTACGGAATGCGAATGGTGGCAATGACATGGCACTATATGATGTAAAACCTGTTTGAACTCTCGTCACCATGCGCCCTTTATCGTAGCTGTCAGTTTATCTGTTGACATGTCCACAAAGAGCCATCAGAATACATGATTTGACTGCGTATTTACGAAGAGAGAAGCCCCTTTCGGAAAACGGGGCGGTGGGGTAGCCTAGTGGTTAAAACGTTAGCTCGTCACGCCGAGGACCCAGGTTCGATTCCCCACATGGGTATAATGTGAAAACCCATTTCTGGTGTCTCCCGCTGCGATATTGCTGGAATATTGCTGAAAGCAGCGTAAAGCCATACTCACTCACTCACTCAAACAGTTAGTTTGTTGTGCGCCGATATCAGCAGGCTTCTATCTATATCACGGCGATCTGTAAATAATCGAATCTGGAGCAGACAAACTAGTGATTGATATCATGAGCAACGTCCCACCCAACCACACGCAAGCCACAAATTCGCTTGATCCAATTTAGTCGCGTCTAAGGCAAGATTAAAGTACTATTTTAAGCAGGGACTCCAAAGCACACAAGCCGTATTTATAGTTATGGGACCGTATGTTAGAAACAAACTCAACAACAGCACCTGGATGTAAGGATGAAACGAGGTGTTGGGAGTTCCAGGCGGACAGTGCCAGGAGCTTGTGGTAGATGTAGTTCCGTCTGATCCAGTAGATGCCGGCAGCGCAAAGCAACAACAGTAGTAGCACAGTCAACCTGCAAAATGTATACACGTATTTAGAAAACATCTGAAGTCTACTGTTCAATGTACAGATGGGAAAAAAACTGGTTACTTAAAATATCGTCGTTAACGCGTTGTTATTCCTACAGACTGGGTGGAGGGACGTTGTTATATATGGAGACTGGGTGGAGGGACGTTGTTATATCTGGAGACTGGGTGGAGGGACGTTGTTATATCTGGAGACTGGGTGGAGGGACGTTGTTATATATGGAGACTGGGTGGAGGGACGTTGTTATATATGGAGACTGGGTGGAGGGACGTTGTTATATATGGAGACTGGGTGGAGGACGTTGTTATATATGGAGACTGGGTGGAGGGACGTTGTTATATCTGGAGACTGGGTGGAGGACGTTGTTATATCTGGAGACTGGGTGGAGGGACGTTGTTATATATGGAGACTGGGTGGAGGACGTTGTTATATATAGAGACTGGGTGGAGGGACGTTGTTATATCTGGAGACTGGGTGGAGGACGTTGTTATATCTGGAGACTGGGTGGAGGGACGTTGTTATATCTGGAGACTGGGTGGAGGGACGTTGTTATATATGGAGACTGGGTGGAGGATGTTGTTATATATAGAGACTGGGTGGAGGACGTTGTTATATCTGGAGACTGGGTGGAGGACGTTGTTATATATAGAGACTGGGTGGAGGACGTTGTTATATCTGGAGACTGGGTGGAGGACGTTGTTATATATAGAGACTGGGTGGAGGACGTTGTTATATATACAGACTGAGTGGAGGGACGTTGTTATATATAGAGACTGGGTGGAGGGACGTTGTTATATATACAGACTGAGTGGAGGGACGTTGTTATATATAGAGACTGGGTGGAGGGACGTTGTTATATATAGAGACTGGGTGGCTGACGTTGTTATATATAGAGACTGGGTGGAGGGACGTTGTTATATCTGGAGACTGGGTTGAGGGACGTTGTTATATATGGAGACTGGGTGGAGGACGTTGTTATATATAGAGACTGGGTGGAGGGACGTTGTTATATATAGAGACTGGGTGGCTGACGTTGTTATATATAGAGACTGGGTGGAGGGACGTTGTTATATCTGGAGACTGGGTTGAGGACGTTGTTATATCTGGAGACTGGGTGGAGGACGTTGTTATATCTGGAGACTGGGTGGAGGATGTTGTTATATCTGGAGACTGGGTGGAGGGACGTTGTTATATGTGGAGACTGGGTGGAGGACGTTGTTATATATAGAGACTGGGTGGAGGGACGTTGTTATATCTGGAGACTGGGTGGAGGACGTTGTTATATATAGAGACTGGGTGGAGGACGTTGTTATATCTGGAGACTGGGTGGAGGGACGTTGTTATATATGGAGACTGGGTGGAGGACGTTGTTATATCTGGAGACTGGGTGGAGGACGTTGTTATATATAGAGACTGGGTGGAGGGACGTTGTTATATATGGAGACTGGGTGGAGGACGTTGTTATATATAGAGACTGGGTGGAGGGGCGATGTTATATCTGGAGACTGGGTCGAGGACGTTGTTATATATGGAGACTGGGTGGAGGACGTTGTTATATCTGGAGACTGAGTGGAGGACGTTGTTATATATAGAGACTGGGTGGATCGACGATGTCATATCTGGAGACTTGGTGGAGGACGTTGTTATATATAGAGACTGGGTGGAGGACGATGTTATATTAGGAGACTGGGTGGAGGACGATGTTATATTAGGAGACTGGGTGGAGGACGTTGTTTTATCTGGAGACTGGGATGGAGGACCCCTCTAGCGAATTCATCCTATTATGTGAGATTGGTCTTAGGACTGTATCATAGAGTCGACTCTTCCCCCCCCCCCCCCCCCCCCCCCCCATCAATACATGTAAAATTTTACCACGACACTCCCCCTCCTCCTCCCCACATAATAAATGACCAATCCCTAACCTATCAGCAGGCACTTTCTCCAGAATATCCATCTGTCACATATAATGTCCCTCGCAAGAGATTTATTTTGCTTTTGAAGAGTCTGCATAAGGATATGGCTGCATGATGCCAAATTAAACGACAAATGTCTTTTTTATAGTTCCGTAGATTGAACTTGAAAAATTCGTATCTGCAGTCTAGAGACGTTTTTTTCGGTTTATAAGTTGGCTAAAAACCTCGATCTTCCCTGAGAACGTCAGCCTGAAGGGCCTCACCATTTCCTGCTTCATGGCTTACTCTGTCAAGACCCCGGAGTCGGTTTTATTCTTTGCATGTATACCACAGGTGCGTGGTGCAGGTGAAGACAGGGGCACACGTGAGGGGGACGACCAGAGGTACGTGGTGCAGGTGAAGACAGGGGCACACGTGAGGGGGACGACCAGAGAGGCGTGGTGCAGGTGAAGACAGGGGCACACGTGAGGGGGACGACCAGAGAGGCGTGGTGCAGGTGAAGACAGGGGCACACGTGAGGGGTGACGACCAGAGGTACGTGGTGCAGGTGAAGACAGGGGCACACGTGAGGGGTGACGACCAGAGGTACGTGGTGCAGGTGAAGACAGGGGCACACGTGAGGGGTGACGACCAGAGGTGCGTGGTGCAGGTGAAGACAGGGGCACACGTGAGGGGGACGACCAGAGAGGCGTGGTGTAGGTGAAGACAGGGGCACACGTGAGGGGTGACGACCAGAGGTGCGTGGTGCAGGTGAAGACAGGGGCACACGTGAGGGGTGACGACCAGAGATGCGTGGTGCAGGTGAAGACAGGGGCACACGTGAGGGGGACGACCAGAGGTACGTGGTGCAGGTGAAGACAGGGGCACACGTGAGGGGGACGACCAGAGAGGCGTGGTGCAGGTGAAGACAGGGGCACACGTGAGGGGTGACGACCAGAGGTACGTGGTGCAGGTGAAGACAGGGGCACACGTGAGGGGGACGACCAGAGGTGCGTGGTGCAGGTGAAGACAGGGGCACACGTGAGGGGTGACGACCAGAGAGGCGTGGTGCAGGTGAAGACAGGGGCACACGTGAGGGGGACGACCAGAGGTGCGTGGTGTAGGTGAAGACAGGGGCACACGTGAGGGGTGACGACCAGAGAGGCGTGGTGCAGGTGAAGACAGGGGCACACGTGAGGGGGACGACCAGAGGTGCGTGGTGTAGGTGAAGACAGGGGCACACGTGAGGGGGACGACCAGAGGTGCGTGGTGTAGGTGAAGACAGGGGCACACGTGAGGGGGACGACCAGAGAGGCGTGGTGCAGGTGAAGACAGGGGCACACGTGAGGGGTGACGACCAGAGGTGCGTGGTGCAGGTGAAGACAGGGGCACACGTGAGGGGTGACGACCAGAGGTGCGTGGTGCAGGTAAAGACAGGGGCACACGTGAGGGGTGACGACCAGAGGTGCGTGGTGCAGGTGAAGACAGGGGCACACGTGAGGGGGACGACCAGAGGTGCGTGGTGCAGGTGAAGACAGGGGCACACGTGAGGGGTGACGACCAGAGGTGCGTGGTGCAGGTAAAGACAGGGGCACACGTGAGGGGTGACGACGTTGCAAATGCATGCGAGTCGAAGACGTAACGATTAAAAAGGTTCTGTATGGGGACCGAACGAGGCAAGGTGTATGTGGGAACTGAACGAGGCCGGGTGTATGTGGGGACTGAACAAGGCTGGGTGTATGTAGGAACTGAACAAGGCCGGGTGTATGTGGGGACTGAACAAGGCCGGGTGTATGTGGGGACTGAACAAGGCCGGGTGTATGTGGGGACTGAACAAGGTCGGGTGTATGTGGGGACTGAACAATGCCAGGTGTATGTGAAGACTGAACAAGCCCGGGTGTATGTGGAGACTTAACAAGACCGGGTGTATGTGGGAACAAGGCCGGGTGTATGTGGAGACTGAACAAGGCCGGGTGTATGTGGGAACAAGGCCGGGTGTATGTGGAGACTGAACAAGGCCGGGTGTATGTGGGAACAAGGCCGGGTGTATGTGGGGACTGAACGAGGCTGGGTGTATGTGGGAACAAGGCCGGGTGTGTGTGGGGACTGAAAAAGGCCGGGTGTGTGTGGGGACTGAACAAGGCTGGGTGTATGTGGGGACTGAACGGGGCCGAGTGTATGTGAGGACTGAACAAGGCCGGGTGTATGTGGGGACTGAATGAGGCCGGGTGTATGTGGAGACTGAAAAAGGCCGGGTGTATGTGGGGACTGAACAAGGCCGGGTGTATGTGGGAACAAGGCCGGGTGTGTGTGGGGACTGAACAAGACCGGGTGTATGTGGAGACTGAAGAAGGCCGGGTGTATGTGGGAACTGAACAAGGCCGGGTGTATGTGGGGACTGAATGAGGCCGGGTGTATGTGGAGACTGAACAAGGCCGGGTGTATGTGGGAACTGAACAAGGCTGGGTGTATGTGGAGACTGAACAAGGCTGGGTTTATGTGGGAACTGAACAAGGCCGGGTGTATGTGGGAACAAGGCCGGGTGTATGTGGGGACTGAACAAGGCCGGGTGTATGTGAAGACTGAACAAGGCCGGGTGTTAGTGAAGACTGAACAAGGCCGGGTGTATGTGGTACTGAACAAGGCTGGGTGTATGTGGGGCCTGAACAATGCCGGGTGTATGTGGGGACTGAACAAGGTCGGGTGTATGTGGGGACTGAACAAGGCCGGGTGTATGTGGTACTGAACAAGGCTGGGTGTATGTGGAGACTGAACAAGGCCGGGTGTATGTGGTACTGAACAAGGCTGGGTGTATGTGGGGCCTGAACAAGGCCGGGTGTATGTGGGGACTGAACGAGGCCGGGTGTATGTGTGGAGTCCACGTACCAGAAGTACCACAGCTTGTAGAAGGCTTGATCCAGGCTGCAGCATGTCTGACCACAACATATCTGGTTGTCTGCGCAGCTGCAACACGTGACAGATCACATGACAACTCCAACATGGTGTATATTGTCTCTACTTGGTTGTTCACTGTAATGATACACGTGGCAAGCCATGTTTACCTATCATTTAGCCATTCGATTTTGCAATGCAACAGTAATCATTCGTCACCACGTATTTTTTCCACGGTATTCGGCTTTTCCCGGAATGACACGAGTTGTTCACATTGCTGCATTACTATTTGCATGGAATAAAAAATGGCTGTTCACGGGACATTGTACGAGCGCTTCAAACAGTTACTCACAAGAACACCTGGGTCCGCCCTTTGTTGCTGTGCCAGCATTGTTTCCCCTCAAC